AAATTATATAAAATATTAAAATTGAGGACTAAAAATGAAATTTATGCTTTTTAAGTTTGAATTGATTTGAATTGTATTGTACTAAAAAAATGGAAGATTGACGAGAGATAGCTGTACGCGAGAACAGAGGAGGATTTGCGCGCTGGAAATTGTAGGGTTGGCCAAAACGATGTCGTTTTGATCAGGAAATCTTTTTTTTTTTGAAATTCTTGCATATTGTATCGGTTAAATTTTAGTGTACCGGTCGGTATGCCAAAATTTCGATCGGTACACTGAAATTTGACCAAAATCACCGGATTTTGATCGAAACGAAATCCTTTCTTACTTCATTTCGGTTTACTCTCAAAATCGGTACGTACTGACCGTACCGGCCGGTACGGTACGGTATATATTTCTTTGGATGAGAATCCTATCTTGGTATCTCCTAATGAATTTGATTATATAATTTGATATAATTTAGACTATATATATAAATATTTGTTTGTATATATATTGGACATAATATAAATTATAACTTTATAAAAATAATATTTTTTTGTTTGAGTAAATATCAAAAAAAAATTATTTTCAAAAGAGTAATAAAAAGATGTTAAGAAAAAAATAGATAATACCATCAATGTACCATGCACCTTAGACTAGTCATTATAAAATTACGGGAAAAAGAAAAGAAATGATAAAATGTCCAGTTTTGCTTCATCAGATTTGGTTCTACTTTGTCAGCCGAAGACAGAAAGAACTATCAAATAACTTTAGTCGGTCCATATCAACCAGGGGTTGGAACAAATGGTAAACGGTTAGTTTCAGTTTAAACAAGATCTTGAATTTGAGACTTTGTGTACGCAGCAACTTTCGTTGGGAGACTCACCCACTATTTTCAAGTACGTGATCCAGGTCGGTTCGGATTAGTCGAAGCGAAGCCCCGGATACCGAGCGGGAAACAAAAAAAAAAAAACTTTAGTCGGTCCCATTGCAACTAGGGGTTGGATCAAATGGTAAATGGTTAGTTTCAGTTTAAGCAAGATCTCAAATTTTAGACTTTGTGTACGCGGCAATCTTCGTTGGGAGGGTTACCCACTATTTTCAAGTGCGTGATCCGGGTCGGTTCGAATTAGTCGAAGCGAAGCTTCGGATACCGAACGGGAAACAAAAAAAAAAAACTTTAGTCGGTCCCATTGTCCCACAGTCCCAGTGATCTATATTAGGTTTTGGATCTGGGCTGTTGATATTGTACCTTGTGTTTGTGGGTTGAGCGGCTGAGGTTTAAGGCCCAGAAATAGTCTCTAAATCTGCTTTAACCAAGGCCCATTTGCAAGATTCACTTTCGCCCCTTGCCATTTCTGTAAATCATGAGTCTTTGGATAGGAAACTCCTATCTGTCAAGTGCCAAGGCTTTCTGCAGACTAATTAGAGTTTAATTAAAGCAGAAAAAACATGTGTTTTATGTTCTTAAGGAATCAGTTTTTCTTTTCATTCTTTTGATTTTTTCCTAAAAAATCAACAAGGATTTACGGAATGGCCATCAAGAATTCATGCTTATCTCTTCTTCTTCTTCTTCATTTTTTTAATTTTTTTGATGAATCGAAGTATATTAATGTAAGGATACAAGAGGTACTTCAATTCTTACACAATTTCTAAGCTTCATGCTTATCACTTGTTCTAATATGTGGATTAGCCGTGCACTGGTCTGCCTTCCTGGAGGATAATAACCATGTCGCTAGCTACTGAATTTTCAAAGAGAAGGGCTAAGTTACGCTAATGACTTAAAGCTGGAAAGATTGTCCAAACCGCCTCATTCCTTTAGAAATATTCTATGTTTTCAGCATCTTCCAAGAAGCAGCAGTTGCTTGCCCAAGTTTGGAATAGCTTCCCAGTGCCCTCTATAAAAACAGTTTCGATGCCATGACTCTGCTTTAATGGCAACTGAAATTGCAGTGCAAGCTGCTCTAGCAGCAGCCGGACAGTTATTCAGAACTATTTCATGTGTACTAGACACAAATTTCCGATTTCATTCTGTTCTTGGGCAACTTCAGACAACTCTCGAGTTTGTTATTCCAAAGATTCATCGGATATGTCAGCTGAGAGATTCAAGTGATCCCCAGAACCATGGGGTTCATAGGCTGACAGAGTTGCTGTGGCGAGTTGAGGGCATTGTAAGGAAATGCTCTGCTGTGACCTGCTGGAACTTCTTCAAGAAGTATAGGTACAGCAAGAAGCTCCTTAAACTGGATGCATCTCTTCGTAGGTTCTTCAGTGTAGAGTTGCAGGTTTTGATGTTGGAGGATATTGCCAATGTTTCATACCAATTTGAGAAACTTAGCATGAGGGTGGATCGGAGGCTGGAGGATAAAGCAAGGATTTCATATCAGTTCAAGCAACTTACCAAGATCACTGAGGTTTACCAGGCAGCTTCTGGGTTGAAGAAGATTGTCCACTCTCTGCATGGTTTGTTCCTTCTCGATCTGACGTCGTTCCTGAGAATTCACAGACGGGGCTATCAAATAATAAAAAACAGCTTCTATTAAAAATTAGTGTAAAAATGAACAAGACATTGGACGATATCAATGCTGCATTAATGTGTCGTGTACAACAATAAAGAATGTGAACACATTCTGTACAATAATATTGTATGAATTATGAGAACAAGATCCAAAGGCCAGAGACATTCAGGGGTCTTTCTACCCAGTAAACCAAACAGAAAGAATCAAGGTTATCAAGAATTTTGACGCTTACATGTGGAGAAAATGCTTAACAACCTTTAGTTAGTCTGTTCACCAATAATCCCCACAAGAACAGTTCCCGTCCTCAAAACAGTGAAACCGATTCAAATCCCGTACAATAATTTTTCTTCTAAGAATCTTTGAGATATATTTCATGGCAGTATGGCAGTCTACACAAGTTCTCAAGTTCTTGAAAACCTTGATTGGCGTTCCTTGAGGAGTAGAAATAATTCCAAAAGCAACAGCTAGCTTCTCACTGTGGTAGGAAAGATTTTGCTCCTTTTGCTCTTCCTCCACATCATGCAACACAAAATTGGTGTCAGGAACATACCCCCCTTCTCTTATTCTTTTGGAAAGTTCTCCCAAGAACTCATGTATCTCCTTGGATCTTGGATGGGAAGTATCTCCAACAGCAAACACATTTAGCTCTCTCTTGATCTCAACCCAGCTCAAACCGGGCTTCTTTACAACTCCTCTATCAACCATTGTTTTTCTGATTTTTGCTACTTCATTCCACCTACCAGCTGAGGCATAAATATTAGCCATAGTAACATAAGTAGCTGGATTTTCAGGCTCAATTTCAAATAATGCTTCCGCAGCTCTTTCTGCCAGTTCAAGGTTTCCATGAATTCTGCAACCACCAAGTAATGAAGCCCACAAAAATTTATCTGGTTTCATAGGCATCTTACTAATGATATTCTCAGCTTCTTCAAACTGCCCAGACCGCGACAATAGATCAATTATACACGCATAATGATCAGGAGTACGTGTTAACCCATGTTTTTCCTCTATTGAGTAGAAGTATCTGAGCCCTTCGTCAACCAATCCAGCATGTGTACAAGCAGAAAGAACCCCAACAAAAGTAACGTGATCAGGCCGGGTACCTGATTTAAGTTGCAACTCAAAGTAACGTAAAGCTTCATCAGGCTGACCATTCTGAGCATAACCAGTAATCAAAGAAGTCCATGAAACCAAATGGGGACTAGGCATACAATCGAAAACCCTTTGGGCGTTGTCAATATTTCCACACTTGGAATACATATGAACAAGAGCACTAGCTGCAAAAGAGAAAGGGTCAAAACCAACTCGCATCATGTATGCATGAATCTGCTTCCCTAGCTCCTCTGCAGTATGATCAGCACATCCATTCAAAACCCCAGAAAACGTAAACTCATTAGGTCTCATCCCTGATCTCATCAATTTGGAGAACAAATCAAAACCCTCCTGCATCCTCCCATCCTCAAAGTATCTGTCAATCATTGCAGTCCACGTAACAATATCTCTATTTGTCATCTTGTCAAAAATGCACCTAGCTTCATCTATACTCCCACATTTCCCATACATGTCTGATAAAGCACACCAAACAACCTCATCAGAATCCATCCCAGTTCTCATTATATGACCATGAATCTCCTTCCCTGCTCGTAAACATGGTATTGCCGCCGAAGCAGCTAGCACACTAGACAGAGTAAACTTATTTGACTTTGAATTCTCACCTTTCTGCATCATCCTATACAACCCTAAAGCTTCTTCAGGCCAATCATGGCGAACACAACCAGATATCATCGCAGTCCAAGAGAAATTATCCCTCTCAGGCATTTCATCAAACAGTTTCCTGGCTTCATTAAGCAACCCCACTTTCGCATAACCAGATATCATTGTATTCCAGGAACACAAGTCCCTTTCACCCATTTGATAAAACATCTTCCGTGCATCAATAAAACTCTCGCACTTGACATACATATCAAGAAGACGGTTGCACATTACAACCCCAGGTTGAAACCCAGATAATTTGATGTGTTTGTGGACATTTCTGCCCTCATCAAGCGCTCTACTTTCCCGGCAAGCTTGTATCAGAATAGAGTAAACAGAAGCGGACGGCTTTCCGATACGATTGAGGAGTTGAATGGCTTCTCTTAATCGATTTTGCGCACACAGAACATCTATTGCTTCTTTGAATTTATTTTCTTTGCACAACCGGTCTACGAGACTGTCTTTTGGATTTGATTTGAAGAAGATTCTTCGAGGGAGAGGTTTATGGGCATAAGCTTCAGTAGAGATACCAAAAGAGATTACTCCATGAAACATTCTGGGATTTGGTAACCTCATATTTTGCCCACAAAATAAAAACTCTTCTAAAAATAAAATTGCAATCTTTATGCAATAATTTAGCTGAAGAAGAGGGAATGTTTTGAATCTTTAGATCTTTTTGGGAGATTTTTTTTTTTTTTTTAAATTTTTGTTTAGATTGCCCAAAAATAAACAACAGTTAGCCATCCCTTAACCAATTTTATAAGTGGGAGGGACTCAAACTCAACAGTCTTTAGCATATTTTATTTACTCTTAGTATTTTTTTTCTTAAATAATACATGTTTTTTATTTTTATTTTGAGATTAAAAATTTACAATATGTTTTGATTAAAAAGAATAGAGGGGTAAAAAATTCCTTATTTGATTATGAAAAAAATTAAAGTTTGGCTTTTAAAAAAATTGGAGGGAAGGGAGAAAAATATTTTCTTCTATTTTATTTTTTTAATTTAATTATTTATCTAAACATGAGAAAAGGAGAAAAGGTGAATAAGAGAATATAACTTTCCTTCCCTTATTTCCTTCTACCGCAACATTAAGTTAGAAACAATTTCTTATTTTACCTTTTTTACCTTAAAAAAAATAAAAAATAAAAAATAAAAAATAAAAAACTTTTTCTTATTGATTTAATAAATAAAATTAAAAAATAATCACAAAGTTATAATCACAAAATTAAATTAACAAAAATATATTTATCTATTCTAAAATATATAAAAAACAACTATTATTATAAAATGAATTCCAAATTAAAAAGCATTTATTATTTTGGGACGGAGGCACTACTTAAGACAATGCTTGGTGAATTACCAAATTCAGCTGCATGCATTACACGGTATGAAAAACGAGAACCAAAGGACAACATCGACCATGCAAAAATGACGAACAAGAGACTTCATTAGGAAGGGGAGGGTGGGGGAGGAAAGACAGGAGTCATATGATGGGGCAAAATGATCCAGTATAGAATTTTTAGCTCAATTACAAACCCTTTTAAAGCATTAAATATCAATTCTTCCACAATGAACGAAGCTTCATGATATGAACACGATGGATTCAAGTACCCTATCATGTGACAACAGAAACCAGCATGATACACTTCCTCACAATTTGCCTAATATAATAAAGAAGGCACCTTCCACAATTTCTCTCCAGCTTGGCCTTCAGCACATTCCAAATGCTGGAAACAACATGGCCATGCGGCAGCTTCCTTTCCTAGTACTAAATTGCATAGACTATCTCACCACTGCTGTCAATATCAAGCTCAGACTCAGAATCCAGGTCATCCATGTCCTCGTCCTCAAGATTGTCCATCATGTAACGGTCAATGCTATTAGCCCCCACTGCTGGGATTGTTGCCTCAGAAATTATCTGCATAATTGCATCAACGCTCTGCAAAGGTTGGTCAGCCTCTTCAAAATGGTCACCCATCGTGTTTTCATTCATTAGGTCTGCAGGGAGATTCCTCAAGAACCACTCGTGGTTCCTAATTTCAGGAATTGTAATTCTCTGTTACATGAAATCATCAAATGTCAGGAAG